TGTTGTAATAATGTTAAGCAATGAACATAACTACAAATATGTCGTAAATATTAACAACATAAATCATTCACATATTTCTTTCAGCTCGTGATCATTGCATTCTGAAATGATATTCAAGCAGACTCTTGGTCTAGTCGAAGGACCTAGAATATGTGTCATCGGAGGCATACAAATCTTTCTTGGTAGAGAATGGAATGCATGAAGCGGAAATTGCTTAACGGTTAAACGTCCTTGCCACAGTCAAGGCAATACGAGGAAATGTGCCAAGGAAGAAACAACCGGGAGGGAAAAGTAGAGAGAAAAGAAAGCAGTATTGGAAAAAAAGATGTTGCAATGGTGGCAGCAGATACATTTCGGTCTTTTTAATATCCTCTAAGTAGAAGACTCGGAAGAAATCCCTGATACTGTAGGAGGTCGCACATACGTCCACCCCTGCAGGTCGGGGATCGTGTAAAGAATCTACCTGCTGTTACCCACTGCATGTTTCGTAAGAGGAGACTATTGTGAGAACCCCCGCATAACTAGGGATTTGCTATTGTGCCCTTTTCTTGGGGACACGGAAGATAAATCTGCTGCACCCATTGTTATATTTGGGATCTTTTTGTTTCATTCTACTTCTGACTACCTTTAACTTCCGACCCCTTCCTTGGGGCATACTTATGTCCTAAAAAATGGTTTACCCGATGTCAGTATAATGTGAATCCTGGTTTCCCTAAATTCACATAAAAAGAAGACTAGGAAGAAATTAGCAACCGATTATGCAAGGGGGAACGGGCCACATCAGTCCTCTCTTATAATCATATCGTGGGATACAGCTGGCCTATTCTCTCCCTGATCCTGCACTGGTTTGATCGATCGCTGGCGGCCGGAAAGCCTAATTAATTAAATCATCTATCAAGAGTTCAGAAATACCGGGCTCGATATAAATATATTATGGGCCCATGAAATATGGAATAGACATCGCAATTTTTCCATGTGATTCTGGAATATTAAACCCCCATTCCCCCACAATTTCCGAAGTGGTAAAAATCCTACAACTTAAGCAGCACGGGTTCATTTGTTGCATTCGTTATAAATATCGAAGATATTCCATGCTATACTGATATGGGTCACAGTACACATATAACCACAGGTACCTTTCGCAAATGAGAGAAATGAAATGCATTTTTTTTTCTCTCAATCGCGATAGGTACCTACTACCTAAAATGTTAACGAAACTCTGTACCCCTACCGTCAATTCCGACGAGCTCGTGTTAATGTCATGTGATGCAAGTAAGTATGTGCGTGCGATTCTGTTAATTGAAGTCTAAAAACTCGGTAAAACCTTATCGAACAGGCATTTCTCGACAAATCGAAAGATTGCGTAGCATCTGAAAATCCTAAGTCGAAAAGTTTTTAAGGCTTAATGCCACCATCGCCATTTTGTTTCATATCCGTTCAAGCGCCTCGCCGATGGAATAGAAAAATGAAAAGGCAAAATCTGACAACTGAAACGCTGACACCTCTGTAACCTTCTCTGCAAATTGCTTGTAATCGATATACAAATTACGTTATTGCATGAACAAGTGAAGCACGATAGTGGTGGTTCTAGCCTATAAATAGTAGGGAAAATTTAGTCAAAATCTGCCGTGTCCGACCTGATTGCATCTGCCGTTGTGGCCATGTTTTCGTGAGTTATACCATTACAGTTTGTTTGTTTGTTTGATTTTGTTTAACTTCCTATTAACAGCTAAGGTCATTTAAGGACGGCCTCCCCTGGGTGCAAGATGCATGCGTGTAGTGTATGTGTGTGTATTTTGGGAGGCTGCGATACGTTCGTGTTTGTCTCCTTGTGATAGCGCGAAATTGGTGCCGACTTTATAGTGCTACCTCACTGAAACATTCTGCCGAAGACACCCAGCAGGACCATTACAGACCAAGTTATTGTGAATCATTCGCTTGCTTTTAGAACAATATTACTGGAGTTACTGTCGTACTATGATTAAAAAATCTGACATTTCCCCTTTACTACTGTTAACAACTCATCAACAAGTATAGTTCCTTAGAGCCAAACAATACACAAATAGACGTTCACGAAACGGAATAAATAAAACAAAAAGGGGAAAAACAAACGAATAAAACAAGCAAATGGAACATACTTGCCCCCGGTTGGATACATAGATGTCCCCGGTTGGATAGTTTACATTGATACATGGATGTCCCCGGTTGGATAGTGTACATTGATACATAGATGTCCCCGGTTGGATAGTTTACATTGATACATGGATGTCCCCGGTTGGATAGTGTGCATTGATACATAGATGTCCCCGATTGGATAGTGTACATTGATTCGTAGATGTCCCCGGTTGGATAGGTTACATTGATACATGGATGTCCTCGGTTGGATAGTGTACATTGCTACATAGATGTCCCCGGTTGGATAGTGTACATTGATACATAGATGTTCCCGGTTGTATAGAGCATATCCACACCCACATTGTCAGTGTGTCCCCAGTTGTCGGGTATGGTACACATTTGCAAAACTGCATGTAGTAGATCCAACACGTTTCATTCGCATACTAGATGCGACAGATGTATTAAATTGAGCATTTCTATACATGTACATACGTAAATTAAAATGTCCCGTTTACCAGGTGTTCTACTTGTGTCCCCGTTCACATGTATGTGTGTGTGTGTGTGTGTGTGTTATCGCTGAAGCTGTTTTGCCCGGTGATCGGGCAATGGGGTCAGCAGGTACATTAGATTGCAGACACATACAGAGTTCGCTGCACACCGTCCACATGACTCTTCTCTCAATCACCAGAATCCGTTCTCCCAGGGAATGACAGCATGCAACCCAGGTTGCCCCTTTTACAATGTAGTAGACTTTTCCACATGCAGTGGGATACAGCGGGTACAGTCTTACCCCTATCCGGAGAGGACGGATGGTACAATGACAGGTAAAGACCTCGTGTTGTCAATGTGATTTTTATTATTAAGAGATACAACGTTCATATTTTGATTGTTCAGAAAACCTACTTTAAGGAACCAGTTCAAATGAAAAGAAAACATACAGTTGTTGCCATCACCCTAAATGCTGCCCGTTAAAAATGGAAAACAACTACCATTACTTAAGACTTTCGGTTGTCCCGGCCTGGAGACAGAACCCTCTGCCTTTCTCACCTGGGCGAGCGTTACACATAAAAGCCAAAAGTGAAGTATCGCAAAGCTAGGAAATAAAAGGTAGTGAGTGGTAGAGAGATATATAATAATTCCCATTGTCGAACTTGTCCGAGATCTTATTGATATATGGCTGCATACAAAGTTTCATCAAACTCAATTAACATTTACTACTCAAGTTATCGTGTTCACAAGGTCCAATAATAATATTACAAAGGGCAATAACTCTGTAAGTTACTGTCGAATAATTCCCATTTTCCAACTCAACCGAGATCTTATTGATATATGGCTGCATACAAAGTTTCATTAAACTCGGTTAATATTTACTCAAGTTCTCGTGTTCACAAGGTCCAATAATAATAATAATATTATAAAGAGCAATTACTCTGTAAGTTACTGTCGAATAATTTCCATCTTCGGACTCGTACGAGATCTTATGAATACATAGCTGCATACAAAGTTTCATCATACTTGGTTAATATTTACTGAAGTTATCGTATTCACAAGGAAACGTTAACGAACGACGGACGAATCACGACGACGGACAGAAGGCTATCACAATAGGTTACCATGACCTATGGTCAGGTAACCTAAAAACCCTCCTTTAAACAACTTCTTCTAAATAACAAAAAGGCCCAGGATGATGATATTTGGCCAGTATCATGCTAGAATGAAGGGCTTCCAATGTTGTTCAAATAAATGACCTTGACTTTTATTCAAGGTCACAAGGATCAAATATGTTCAAAATCATAAAAAACAACTTCTTCTGAATAACCAAAAGTCGAAGAATGATGATATTTGGCCTGTAACATGATGGGTTGAAGGACTATTAAGTTTGATCAAATGAAAGACCTTGAATTATATTCAAAGTCACAGGGGTCAAATATGTTAAAATCTTTACGAACTTCTTCTGCATAACCATAAGGCCTAGAATGTTGATATGTGTCAGTAGTATGCTGGGATTAGGGACTACCAAGTTTATTCAAATGAATGAACTTTATAATATTCAAGGTCACAGGGGTAAAATTTGTTTAAAATCTTGAAATGACTTCTGAATAACCATGAGGCCCACAATGTTGATTTTTTACCTGTAGTATGCTACGATAAAAGGCTATCAAGCATTTTTTATTTGAATGATCTTGACCCACATTCGAGGTCACATTTACACAAATATGTTTAAACATTTAAATGACCTAATTTCAAAAAACAAAAGGATAGGTAGGTGATGTTTTGCAAGTTGCATCCTGAGATAAAGGGCTAAAAGGATTTGTTTAACATAATGACCTTCAAGGTCACAGGAGTGAAATGTTTTTAAATCTTTTAACAGGTTCTTTTGAATTACTTTTATAATCATAAATACTTACATTTTGCCTTAAGCTTTATTTAAGATCACTTCGGAGGTTACAAGTGTGAGATGTATACCAGATGAGCGATGCAGGCCCATTGGGCCTCTTGTATTATTAGGCTTTTGTTTTTCTATTACATGTACACATTTTAAAATAAATTACAGGGTTTTCTGGTGTTTTTTTCTGATGTTGAGTTATCTAGAAAGGAAGAAAGCGTTATCAGCACAATAATGTCATAACAATGCGAGTGCAAAGCTGGCAACGGTCACTGCAGTCACAGCATTGGCCTCCTGTGCCATTACATTAAGCTTGGAAAAAAACTTCCCACCCATCCAAAGAAAAAACGTTCCTACCTCAGAAAATGGCACATACCCCAGAGAGGCCATCGATTAGCACTTAAACTTGTACAAGGACTGGAGATATCAAATTTATCAATAATTCGATTGCACTTAATGTAACTAATAAATAGACAAATAGTTATGACTTGATATTTTTTTTAATTTTTCATTTGACTCAAAAATGTAACACATTTTGCTTTCAGTGCTAATGATGATCATGAAGTTATCCTTTGTCCCAACTTTATTCTAGTCTTTGCTTATTCACTTTTTTCAATGTATTACTATTAGGTCAACCCTAAGAAGGAACCCCCGCAGAAGAAGCAAAAGATCACTGAAGGTATCTTACCTTATATGTATTGCCCTATCACACAGAAACCAATACCTAGTATTGATTTTGCTTCCACACTTGTTACGCAACTATCTGCAATTAGAAGGGATGCTCAGATTTTGAGAATTCCACCAGCTGCAAATACTACAGAAAATTCGCTATCCATGTATGTACCAGTGATCTCATATCAACAAAAAACCAATGTTATCAAATAGCAATAGGAATAACAATGAAGAACATAAAGGTTTTCCAGTCTTTACTATGCTAGAACAGCCATACTATTACAATGCTGTGTTAAATCAATCTGAAATGGTTCACTGTATGTGTTTTCACACTAATCCTGCTCTTAGATAGAGTGAGAAATTCAGAACCAAAGTTCAAACAAGTTACGGCATCACTTTAGAAGACACAGGAAAACATCTACCATGTATAAGGACGTGTGCAGATTTTGACAGTTTGGCAGCTACACTATTGAAAGGAAAAACATTAAAACTGCTGCAATGAAATTTAGGTTGGAACATGAGCTAGTACCAGCAAATTATATGCAGAAATTACGGGAAAGAATGTGTATATGTGTGGTTTTGTAAATAACCCAAATATTCCTTTTCTTGGAGCATCTCCATATAGGAAGATATTCGACTCCAATAGGAAAACTTCAAAGAGAATGGAAAGTGAAATGCATACAAGTACTTATTTCGACTTGAAATCAAAGGTATTGTTTGGTACATAGTGTCTTTTTAACACGAATTAGAATAATGGCCCTCTAAAATGTGTAAGTTGCCCGTTCGACTTGAATACGAATATACATGCCTATTACGTGGCGAGTTGGCCAAATTGGTAACCTACCAAGCATCATGTACAAGAAGTTGGACCATGTGAGCAATAATCTACTGACAGAAGACTGATATATTAAATCTCACTGCAAGGTCCGGCTCTGGGATTCCTTAACGAACTCTACACATGGACAAGAAAAACTGATCTATTAAAATCTTCTTTGATATCATCGGACGTTTTCGACGTTCATGCTATCATCATGTCTTCAGACTGACAAATGTCTTCTCTTAATGGTTTTGTTTTATTTTCATCACTTTTTTTTCCGCACTTGTTTTTACTAGAGTGTAGCCCTCTGGTAGCAAAGCCGACTGGAAAGAGCATAGATTTTCTTGCACACGACAGGCGGCAGCTTAATTACCTGTCGATAAAATAGAGAAGGATAGTTTAAATATCATATATACATAAAGATCGATTGAATAAACAGATTTGTTTCAGCCTGGTTGTCTGGCAGATTTCCCTCTTATTTACCTGATAACATATTTTCTGTATGCTGATTCAAACGCTGAAGATGCTGTAATAATATTATTTCCGTAGAAATTTCAGTTACATATAGGGTTTAAAGTCTAGCAGACAAAAATCATCGAACTTGAATAAATTTCCGTAAGATTACGTGGTTAGTGCGTCGCTTTAATTATTTTATTCTAATTTAATTAATTTATACCATACCGAAGTTACACCTTGCAAATTTTGGATCTTTACGTTTCATATCCATCGTTTGGGAACAATATTAATGTTATACTGCTATATTGTCCACGTTTGGAAGACAATGAATTATGCCCTGAGCCGAGACATTCCAGTTCAAAATGGTAGTTCATTCTTAAGGGAAAACGGAAAGACCTTGTTTTAACTTTTGACGAGGCAGTACTCTATAAGCCGTTATCACATACGAGCCGTAATGAGGTTTAAAATAAATTTAGATTTCATAATAAAGCAAAACATAGGCTCCGCTTTCCTGTCCCAGGGGGTGGGGGTCAGACCAATCGTTTATACAACATGTGTTCCCCTTCACCCAAAGGTGCTTCATATTAAATTAGGACAAAATCCTGTCATTCCTGCAGAAGTAGAAGGACTTTGAAGAATTTGCTAAATTAATCCTATTTGGCCCATGTCCTCATGCCCCAGGGGGTCAGGCCTACCATTCATACACAATTTATTTCCTTCCCCATAGGATGCTTCTGTTCTCATTTGTTCAAAATACATTCATCCCAACGGAAGAAATAGGATATTAAAGCTATTCTTCTATATATCCACTGTTATACACAAATTTGTTCCCCTTCACACAAGGGTGCTTCAGACCAAATTGGGAGGAGAAGGTTGTTAAAGGTTTACCTCTATTTTCCCTTATTGGGCCCCTCCCCTCTTCCCAAGGAGGACAACGGCCACTGTTTCTACTAAATTGAGTCCTCTTGGCCCACATATGTTCCAGAATAATTTAGGATAAAATCCCTTTATTCCTACGGTAGAAGAAGGACTTAAAAGGTTTTACCTCTATTTTCCATATTGGGCCCCGCCCCTTTGCTCCCAGTGGGGCCACACCCACTGTTTATACTAAATTCAGTCCCCTTGTCCTAAAGATGCTCTTGACCAAATTTAGTCAAAATCTACCGCGCCGCTCAGGACAAGTAGCGTTTTAAAGGACAAGAGGCCCAGAGGGCCTGTATCGCTCACTTGGATATCTAAGCAATCACGGCAAAATATTCTCTAAATGAGATCCAAGGGAATGGACCAGACCCCATGGCCTATCCTTGTAGCATATCTGTATTAGAGTTTTCATGCCCAGCAGTTTTATGTATGGTTATTGGGTGGGGATCTCAACTGTTTCAAATCTGTGATTTAGAAACTAGGGCCCTAGGGTTGTGGCCAGACCCCAGGATCAATTATAATATCAATACTGCATTCGTCTTTTTATGCACAGCATTTGTTTATATAGTTTTGGGTTGGGGATCTTAACCGTTTCAAAGTTATGACCCAGGGGTTAAGTCCCCAAGGGTGGGGGTGGGGGTGGGCATCCTAGAAGCGTATGTGCATTCATCTCTTTATACTCAGGAATTGTATATATGGTTATACGGTTGGTATCGCAACCATTTCCAAATTATAAATTTGTGTTGCCACACCCCTTAGCCTTAGCCAATTAAAGATCACTACTTATCAGATGGACGGACGCCACGGTATGGTGAGCTAAAAAGTTGACGGACGACGGACGCTATGGTATGGCATAAGGTCACCATGGTCCTTCGGACCAGGGTAGCAGAGTACAGTAGAGGGTTGTGGCCATGGGTGATATTTTTGTTAAATGGCTAACCCTGTATAATGATATGTAAAAAAAATATAAAAATAAAACTGTACTAAAATTGGTATAAGCATGATGAAGTGGGCTATGTGAGCTTCACATTTGTAAAAAAGAAAGAAGATTTCTTTGGTTCGAGGATAAAATTTTGGCCATAATACGAAAGGGTGCGTACACATGAAAAGCTAGCTTTACAGGAGGTAAAATTTTGACAACAGCACACGACGCAAAATTGCAAAAAATCAAGTTCTACAATTTTACTGCGACCCAGATAATTCTGCAACCAGGTAGGCAATCTTGAATTTCAGACAGAGCTTAGGAAAAAAAATACTACTTGCGGGGGTCAACTTTTGGGTTAAAAATAGCATTTTTTGGCATTTTTTGGTAATTTTTGATGTGGTAACCATGGTTTTCACACAAGTGACATACATAGAAAAAAGAGGTTTATACACTTCTCAGTGCTTTATATGTATTGTAAATGTAATGCAGTTTACAAATATATATACATGTATACGTGTGTTGTGTAGGGTAAAACCGCTGTGTTTACATTTCCTCAACATGTGCCTTGTTTATCAGAGTCGGGCCATTTCTACTGTATTCTGCTACCCAGGTGAGCTAATAAACACGGAATTACCTATGCAGATAACTCCAGCATCTTCGGAATGTGCACAATTTTCGACTCCCCAACCAGGGAAATTACAAGCAGACAGCATGCATTCGTTTCCAGAACAGATCACGTCATCCATCCAAATTGTGCCTGAACCTTCTCCGAAATACGCAGATACAGTGACTTGTCCACCACTATGTAAACAGTTATAACGGATGTAAATATAACTTGATTTACAATATAAAATCAATCTTTCATAATACAAATACAAATAGTACCTAATGTCAACTTTTGTCACTTACATATTATTTTGTGTATGCTTGCATGCGTATATGTGTGCTAAAGGCAGGGTATGTTGGTGTTTCTGCCTTCTTGTAATAACGCAGAACTGATTCAGACTTGCACAATATTCCAAAGAAACCCTGCTCAGCATTCCGCCCGGTCACATTGTACTGCCATTCAATTAAATGCTGAACATTAAGCAGGGAATAACAACTACCATTTGTAAGGACTTTGGTATGTCCCGTCCTGGGGAAAGAACCCATGGCCTCCTCACCTTGGTAAACATTCAGCATTAAAACGAAAAGTTAGATATTTTGGTCGCTTTTGTGTCCCAAAATAGAGGATGCAAAAGCAAATCCCCGATTCAGCCGGGGGTTCCCTCATTTGTCGCCCCTATCCCTTTCCCCGACCTGCAAAGGTGGATAGCCTAACGGCATAGCAACGGTAATATCATATTGGGCCTCACATCAATACTAAAGGATATGGACAAAACTTAACACTTCAAAACGAAATGAAAAGTAAAAGGTTAACAACTGCACACATAAGTGTATTACATAACTTTTTGTTTTAAATTTAATGCCATAAATGCACCAATCTATTGTATGGGACAACGTTTTAATTTTAGGTACATCAGAACATTGGTTTCGAAACTGTCTAAAATTGACACATTCGATCAATATGTCGTGCACAGTTATGTGTTCGTCGCAGGAATGACGAATTGATTGACCCTCTCTCCGAAGCAAGTACGCAAAATTCTAATTCATTTTATATGTTACACGCATATCTGGATTATACAGTCGTAAATATCCGTTTTACTGGCGACGTGGACATACTGCCGCATATTTCAAAATAAAATATAATAAGGTCTATGGTCTTCTTTGATAGGATTGTTTCAATCTAATCTGTTGAATTTGACCATCTTTGTTGCTAAATATGTTTGATGAAACTGGTAATATCAGGTTTGGTTTGGTTTTAAAAGTTTTGACTCCAAGCAACAGATACGGTCATTAACAACGTGCCTCAATATATGCGTGCTTGCGTGTATTTATGGGTGCAGGAAGCAGGATATGTTGGTATGCGTGCCTCCTTGTGAAAATATCAGGTTTAAAAAGTAAGTATAGTAATGTTTGGTTGGATGTAAAATGCTACTTTTACAGCTTTATCAACCAGTTCGTTTCAACGAATTCTGACATCACTGAGGACCCATATGATCGTTTTATGGCAGTATTCAGTAACGGAGTTGATATTCGTGCCTCTTTTGCAGTTTTGTCGACCAAATCGTTTCCACGATTTTCGACATCGATAGGGACCCTGGATGTTGGTTATCTGCAGGGGTATGTTTAATGGAGAATCATAGCGCTTTAAGCTGCTATGTGTGTATTTGAACAGGTGTGTTTTTTGTGATGACTATGTCGAACTGGCATAACCTCTGAGATACATGTTTAAAACAGATCAATAGCAGAAATTTGGTTTTCATGGAACAATGAAAACAAAGTTTTGACTAGAGAGATTTTAATTCTTGGTATGATCTAAATTTATTATTTTAAGATAAACTTTTAACATGAGTTGAGGTAATTAGGCGTGTCATCGATTTGTTTCCATGTTTAGATTTATATATTTGTTTATGTATACCGAACGGTGACAGGTCACCTTTTTGTTTTCTTCATCCTAAAAGTAATCTGATACTGATTTTAAATTAAGCATCACATTAAATTCAGAAATTCAGATACTAAGGTACAGATTTAAAACTTTAGCTGATTTTGTTGTAACAAATATCCCGAAAATTTGAAAGAACGACAATAACAACCTCAAAAATAATTTACCTATATCCAAGTTGCCTACAGACAACTGCAGCGTCCGGATTGTCCCAGCCATCATCACAGATAGTTCCCCAGGTGCCACCATATAGAATCTCGATCCTACCCGCAGAGTGGTTCCCGCCAACCAATCGAATGTCGGCAACTAGGATAGAAATACAAGAAGTACATTGTTATTATTATCGAGTGGATATAGTATTTCAAAATATACTAAATGATGTGTGCCACTGTAAATTATTTCTTTGTTTTATATTGTTAACAGCCTGTTGACATTTTGAGGGACTTCAAAGATATACATTTGTACTCACTTCATGGTTTGATTTGATTTATTTTGTTTACCATCTTGTCAACAATTAAGGTAATTTAAGGACGTACAGCCATCTGTGTTAAGTATGCTTGAATGTTGCCTCCTTGTGATATCGCGGATCTGACGACGACATTATAGTTCTACCTCACTGGAATACCAAGCCGAAAGCACCAAGCACATCAGTCTATCAGGGCACATATACTGACAACGCGTGAACCAGTTGTTGCCATTACCCAAAATGCTAAACGTTAAGCAGGGAATAATAACCAATGTTTAGGACTTTGCTATGCCGGAAATCACTACTAAACTCAAAGAATTGTTAATTGACTTAACGTTGAATATAATGGAAATGTCCGTTTTGTACAATACAAAACGACATGACAAACAACAAAGTTGAATATGTATAGCAATTAATTATATAATGAAATACAGCATATAAAACAATGTTAACCGAATGCAGAGATTTATATTTTTATTCTTTATAAGTAAATTTAACCCTACATAACAAAACAAATATGACTTTGAGATAACTTGGTATGCATGTACAATATACGAAGATTGAGGCTAAGATACTGAAGCAAAATATCGCACAGTTAATTACCATACTACTATCATTCACTGACCCTGCAGGTAGGGCGTAAGAATTGTACCTGCTGCCCCCAATTACATGATCGTAAGAGGCGACTAAATTTGGGACCTTATCTCTTTTCTCCTTTCTAAATAACTTTCTTCTTCCTAATGTCTCCCTTGACAATGCCTCACTTTTGGCCATTTGTTGAGCGTTCGCCCCAGTGAGGAAGGCTTTGGGTTCTGTCCCCTGGCCGAGACATACCAAAGTCTTTAAAAATGGTAGTAGTTTATACTCCTGCTTAACGCTCAGCAAATTAGGAGTTGGACGACTGGTTCGCCCGTTGTCAGTATAATGTGACCGGGTGGGGCGTCCTGCTGAGTGTCTTCGGCAGTTTGTTTCAGTGAGGTAGCACTATAAAATCGGCATCAGTTCCGCGCTATCACAAGGAGACAAACACGAACATATCGCAGCCTCCCAAAATACACACACTAACACTACACGCATGCATCTTGCACACAGGGGAGGCCGTCCTTAAATGACCTTAGCTGTTAATAGGACGTTAAACAAAATCAAACAAACAAACAAACAAACTATCATTCACTAATTTCCAAACTTTTCTTTCCGCAAGATATCTCGATTAAACATTGGTCAATTTTGATGAAACTTGGTATGCGTTTACATTGTATAAATACTGATGTTCAAAGTGGAGCGAAATCCGAGCATTGTTAATGACCTTCTTAGCTGTTGAAATTACATTAAACACGCAGTGGGTAACAACAGGTGTATTCTTTTCTCGTTCACTACCTTCATGGGAGTTTCTGAGACAGGACCAATATCTTTACTTTTGAATAACAAAACCTGCCAGTGAGCAATACAACAATATGAAGAATCAATTAATTACAAAAAGGGATGATTTCAATTCGTATGTTCATGGTTCGAGATATAAACAAAGGGAGACAATTCATTTGATAACTTTTCAAAGGTCATGAATGCATATATTCTTTATGCTTTAGTTAGTCAAGTCCAGTTTGTTTTCTCTTTTTACGCATTACAGACTGATTAATACAGTACAAATGTTGTTTGCTCTCCCTATATTTCCATATTTGCATACATGTAGATACAATGATACATAAACAAGATTTTAAGCATGTCATATTTGCATAGGGCAATTGAACGGTATTCCGCCCTGAAGTACTACTGTTCTTTTTATTATTTGGTGGACAAACACAATTACAATCTTGTTCACGTGTCTTAAACCAGTTAAAATAATATCACTGTATGTGACTCGGCCCCCTCACCATATCCGTAGTATCCTGAACCCTACCCAGTCGATCCACAATTCACACTTGATTATCATTTATGAGGTTGATTTTATCAAAATAAAAAAATCTAATCTATATCTTATCTATATTATATGAATGGTGTACCGAGGTCAATAATCTATTCTGATTATTTATCTGTTCTACGGAGCATTTACAACAAAACTTAGTACAGTATTTCAATTAGGAAAATACTAACACGGTTACATAGTATTACCTCAAAATGTCACAGAACATCAACTGAGTTCTTAGACATGTGGAAGTACGGTAATGAAAAGGCCCATCGCGCCGCAAAAATGGCTTTATAACCACCACCTCTTGATTTTAACTTTATTTTACAGATTATTTTAAAACTGTTGATAACAAATTTTGTAAGGTCAAAGTGGCAAAAATAATTGGAATCAATGCGAAGACAAGAAAAAACACTGTAAAACCTAAAATCGATGAATGGTATCGAAGCTTGAGGCAAAGCCGCTGAGATGAGGTTGTCCTTGCCCGACTCGGATTGGTCGTCCATACATTATTAACTCTTATTTAGTGAAAAGCGAAGACCAGCTCCAGTGCATAGCATGTGACGAACCGTTTACAATAAAACACTAGGTGTTATATTATATTGACCTTCAGCCAAAAAGAGTTTTTTTGTTTCATAATAATATATTTACATTTGCTATGCATCCTTCCATTGCAATGCGTTTAGAAGGTAAATGTTGTTAAGAGACTATTACAACATTTGCTATTGTGACGTCATCAGTTTTTATTCTGACGTCATTATTTCATTGTTGTCAACACTAAATTTACTGTTAAAAAAATGTTCGAAAAAAACTTATTAAAGCATGAATACTCTATCAAAATGTTAATATAAGTAATGAATGTTTTAGCAAATATTGTTATGGTCCTATAACACACATTTCTATTGCTAACAAACTTACATAACAACATTTGCTAAGCCATTCATTACGTAGATAACAAACTCTAATCTTTTCAGTCTGTAACGCTACAATTCTAACCCACCTAAAAACTGTTGGTCTGTTCAAAAAGATATAACTAACCATGCCACGTTTACTCTCCAAGTTAACCCTGACATTTTACCTTCATGTTCTGTTAATGTTCTGTTATGTACTTTTTATTGGCCCTTATGTATTTTTGTGTTGATGAGCTGTTAAGAATCCCATAACTAACTATATAATACATACAAAAGGTTGGGAAGTTGGGAGCAAATTCACATAGACCTAAATCTATACAGTTAAGATAAGCATATGAAAAATAGAGCAAGAGAGATTACATTTTACCGAACACGGATGACCCATTTCCCGAATTGTTGAATGTAAAGAATTTGTCAATTACCTGGGTATGTCCCTGCAAGGGAACACGACACAATGACTTTTTCATCTGAGGGAACGTTCTTCACTAAAGCCAAAAGCGAGGTTTGGTTTGGTTTGTTTAAATTTTGTTTAACGTCCTATTAACAACTAAGGTCATTTAAGGACGCATCTCCATGTGTGTAGTGTATGCGTGCTACCGTGTGTGTATGCAGGATGCCGACGTTATAGTGGTGAACCAGTTGTTGCCAACTCATTTAATGCTAAACGTTAAGCAGGGAATAACAGTTACCATTTTTAAGGACTTATATCAAATATTGCAATGGGCGCAGCAGATATATATTGCATGCTTTTGTGTCCCAAAATAGAGGACACCAAAGCCAATCCCGAATTCTGCAGGGGTTCCCACATTCCAACAAAGAACTATGGGAGAAAAAGTGTAGTTAGTAGTGGAGCAAATATAATGTTCCCAGATATTGCAATGGGTGCAACAGATATATTTCGGTCACTTTTGTGTCCCAATACAGTGGTGGCGACGGGACGAAACGAACACGGGCAACACTATATCCCCCAAATGGAACTTAATGATATAAACACAAATAAAACAAAATCAACTAACAGAAAGGCTATACTTGTGAAAATCAGTGTAGGCGTTATTGGGTGATAACATCGACAATACATGATTCCCCCCCCCCCCCCCCCCCCCATAATGTTGCCCGGCAGTATTAACAAAATTGAAATTAAGCGTATATTTGTGTTAAGTATTTTTTTTTTGGATACCAATACTACTACTCATAGTTCATCGATATTGATTTTGTAATCAAACACTGCAATGTATAATAAGACCAGTCATTTGTCTTTTTCCGAAGAGAAAATGTCAATTGAGCAACTGAAGTTTCGGAAATAATTAGTATAGAATTTATATATCGAAAAGCAAATTAAATAGGAGTAATGATTATTTTGTCACATATATCGTTACCACATACCGAATGGAAATATAGTTGACTGGCACGTACTAATGTGTACATCAATTAAAATAAAATTGTAAAAATAGTCGCGGACAGAAGATAATTAGTAAAGAACGGTGAATTAGGAAATTGAAATAAAATCATTATGTACTTGTAGATAGCTGCGACGCTTAGTCGATAGAAGTGTAAACAATATATTGCCATGTCCCGACGTATACAACGCAAAAATAAATAACTACCGTAAACGTTTCATCACTACTGCGTCACAGCTATAATATTGACACTGGCCTAAATAAACGTCTGCTCATAATGGGTTTGTTTGTATGTGGTTTTACGTCCTCGCACCAGCCAAGTCATGTATGTGATAAAGGCACGGTGTGTAGGGAAAACTAGGTAAAAATTACATAAACTGTATTGTAAAGAGAACAAACTGCCTCCATTACACACAGAAGACACAGACCGCAAGTATTATCTTGGCTGTTAATAGGACGCTGCATCCTATCAAACCAAACTTTATCTTTGTTGTTAATGGGACGACGCTGAACCAAATCCAAACCAAACCGAAACCAAAAGTAAATGGAATGATAATCCAAATCCACAGTTTGAATAATTTTCAATGACTGCGATACAGAATCACAAAGAGAAGCAAAGTTTACCTAACACCAGCAAGACCAAACACAGTATACAAGGCAGGCACTGCACTATCATCCTGGCTGTTTATAGGGCGCTGTACCCATTTAAACCAAACCGAAATCAAACGTAAATGGAATAATAATCTAAATCAAAGATTGAATAATTGCCACTGACTGCCTTATAGAATTAACAAGAGACGCTAGGATTATCCAACACTCAAGCAAGAAAGGGAACTACTGCGAAAATGTTCGATGGAATAGACAATTGGCTTCGAATTATTACAATGTTCGTCATGAACATTAGGAGGAAATTAATCCACTTCTACGAATTAGAGATTACCATCATTAAATCAGTATCATCACACTTTTACATAGAAATCATTATTCAAAATGATTTAAAACAGGAACACACACAAACTAAATACTACTAATAAAGCAAGATCTACGTCAGGACATCTTTGGATATGCAAATGTGGAGCAGGTGTGCGCTGTAAGTGTCTAGCAGCTTAGATCATGGTTGGACACTGACAACTGGAACTTAATCCACAGGAACCACACCCGCTGTCGGTAATTGCCTTATTATGAAATAAAATTACATATATCAGTTAATGTTTACGTTATATTACCTGTTGAAGAAGACGTGCACTGTACATTTACGGATGACCATTGTCCATCCGATAGGCATGTGGCAGTTGAACCCCCACTAGAGTAATAGCAATCATCACATGTATATTCGATGATATCGCCAACAGTCCTCTTATCAAACGTCACATTGGCATGTAGCACGGCAGTCGGCACTGGACAGTCTGGAACACAAACGTGTAAAATAGTACATTGAATAGTTTTACAGTACCAGAACATCTTTTAACGTTCTCTTCTCTTCTGTAATGCACCATGAGGTAATTTTGATATACTGCTGTGTATTAACGACAACCTTCAAATTTCACATCTTTACTAGGACTGTACTCAATGTGAAAGAAATATAACCGATCATTGCAATAGGAAAAAGATCTGTTAAGTTCTTCCTTCTGCCATTTTTTTAGTATGACCACACTCAAAATACAAACATGCATAACTAGGGATCAAGGGGAACCTAAATATCAAAATTTAGAAAGATCCATGAAGTTTTCCCTTAGAAATAGCACTAACAAACCTTCAATGTAAAAAATCAAAGCTGGCCTTCTGTGGGACATAATGTTTATCCAATCAGTCTCAAAAGTACCAAACATGAACAATAGAGGACTATGGTGAACCTACATCGCTACATTGTGTTTATCTGATCAGTCTCAAAGGCAAACATGCACCACGAGGGACCAATGGAAACCTACATTAAAATTTGATAAAGATCCCTTTGGTACCTCTTTAGAAAAAGCGATAATAAGAATTGTGTAAGAACGGACGACGGACCATGGACGAAGGGCAATGAATAGCCCGCTATCAGATGATTGTGGGCTAAAAAGAAACCTTGACTATTTTGTGAATATTGTAACATAAATATAGTTTCATGCTTTATCATATATTTACAAAAACGAATTTCTGCTTCGTGAAGATAAACACGGTTGAAGTGTCGTTTTCATTGCACGTGAGCATCGATGTATTTGCACGTAGTTATTTTCTTTCATTCAGAACCACAGAATCTGTAAGGACACAACACTGAACAACAGTTTGACAGGTTTTAACTGTATGATAAATTTGTCTGTATTATCAAGCAATTGACAGAATACAATGTCCGAGTATAAAACGCAATACTGTGTAAACTATTTCAAGGATCTCATTAAATAATCATAAGTAAGACGTAGAACAAATTTATCAACAGTGTTATGCGAGGAAAACTGCAACGGGATTTAAACTCTGAACCATTCTGAAAATTACATTCGATTTTGCTTGAAGAAGAGCAGGATCCTTAATGTAAACTTGTTGAAACTTATTTTGTATTCAAACGACACACAAATTAAAATGAATTTTTGTTGTTGTATATAATGTATATACTAATGAATGTATACAAACGTTTCACAATGATTGCGTTTCCTCCATTTCGTAGACGGACACATGAGTTGCTTTCATCAATGTTCACACTTGCACACGAACCTAACAAATCCTGCAAGCGAAAAAACGATTATTATATGTTTTTTTGTATGCTCGTTCTAGTACTCAAAACCCCCTGCTAGTGGGGGATCGGGAAAATATACAACTGCTGTTACCCACTGCATGTGTCGTAGAAGGCGACTAATGTGTGCCGCAGAATAGGGTATTTGCTTAGGGGTCCTCTATTTGAGAACATAAAAGCGACCAAAATAAATCTGCTGCACCCATTGCAATATTCGGGATCTTTATCCTTCTTTCTACTTTGACTACCTTGTATTCCTAGTGTCTTGCTTGGCAACACCTCACTTCTGGACTTTAAGTTGAGCATTCGCCAAGGAGAGGAAGACAATGTGTTCTGTCCCCAGGCCGGGACATACCAAAATCCTTAAAAATGGTAGTTGTAATTCCCTGCTTAACGTTCAGCATTAAAGGGAATGGCAACAACTGGTTCACCAGTTGTCAGTATGATGTGACCGGGCGGAATGCTGTTCTTGGTACCTTCGGCATGGTATTTCAGTGAGATAGCCCTATAAAGTCGGCATCAGATCTGCGCTATCACAAGGAGGCAAGTAAACAAACATAACATGTCTCCTGCATAGTCACACACAAGCACGCATACACTACACACATGGAGGTACGTCCTTAATTAACCTTAGCTGTAAATATGACATTAAACAAAATCAAACCAAACCAACCCCAGAGTTGGGATAGGAGCAGCAGATCAGTTTTGGTCCTTTTCCGACCTCTATGTAAACGACACAGAAGAAACCTTCCGATACTGCAGGTGCCTCATATTAGCTGGGTCACATTAATCAAATCTCACTTTCTAAGAAAGTATTAACTAAGCGGTTGATATTTAAAGTCAGAACGGTAAAGCCCCTTTCTCACATTCACGAATCTGAACACGAATGAACACGATTTAACTTTTTTCGTTAAATCGTGTTAGAACGTATGAAGGTCGCGCACTCATTCGTGTTCACTCGTGTTAAAACGTGGTCGGTTACACGCGGTCGTATGGACGTCGCAGCTTGGCTTAAATCGTATTCAGTCGTATGAAGGTCGTGTGACAGTCGTGTTTAATCGTATGAAAATCTCGTTCAGTCGTATGAAGATCGTTCACAGTCGCGTTCAGTTGTGTTGGGGAGCGTGGGAAGAAACTCATACGACCTTCACACGTTTTAACACGATTCAACACGACTTTCATACGACTCCCATACGCCTGAACACGAAATCCATACGTTTGTCATACGACCGGAAGAACCCATCACGTGACTAAGTGAGAACGTGGGAAACACCCTGAAAGAGAAAGCTCATCATACAGCCATGCCAAACTTCAGGCGGCCGAAACGGAAGCTCCTCCTAGCAAAACCTTCGAAAGGGAAACATCCTTCACCACCAACCACGGATGAACACCCACCCGATACACAGGGATAAGATGAGCCAGCTGAAACCTCTGAACCACCACCAAAATCGCCAGCAACAACAAAAACAACAACTGAAAATGACATGAGCAGGAGGATAGTCAATTCAACATTCCATCCCCTCCACATTTATCTTCATCTGAAGACATTTCACATCAATCTACCACTGAATCTACCACTGTGCTAACCGGGTCAGATCATGATGGTGTCGCTGGTACCGCTGAGTTAACCGGACCCAAACCGACCAAGAAGGGCAGACGAAATAAGAAGAAAAAAAACATCAATTTCATCCATCAATCCCAGTGATGATGTGTCTTCCCAACCGATCAAGGGACGCACCACTTGGTGTATTTTCAGTGACAGCCAGAAAGTGGAATTAGCAGAGTTTTATCGCGAAAACATACAGAGGTCTCCTAAACAACCATGGTCGAGTCGAACCCATAATATCTTCCTGTTCCTCACTCTGCGACGCCTTCGCTGCCTCCTACCCCTCACCATCAAAGCCATAGCTACCAGAAGTACTTCCTCTTCCTCCAAAGCTGCTTCTTGCGGGTCTTGTTCGTTGTTGAACATGATGAAGATTGACACAGAAATGTTATTGCAATGCAGACTATATACTACATGACCCACGTGACCAAAATAAACAAAAATATGTCGTATGCAGGTCTTGCTCAGTCGTATGGAGATCGTGTTTATTTTTGTAGTCGTATAGACATCGTAAGGATTCGTGTTTAATCGTATGACAGTCGTGTTAAGTCATATGGGCGTCGTATAGGGGTCGTGTTGAATAAAGTTAAATCGTTTTGTATCGTATGAATATCTTATGACAGTCGAATGAGTGTCGTGTTCAGTCGTATGAGGGTCGTTTTTGGTCGTATAATGGTCGTGTTTGGTTAAGAAATTTGCATAAACCACAAGGTCGAGCACGAAACAACATGAATTTTCAACTTTTCTTAAATCGTGTTCGCAATTTCCTAAATCGTGTATGTGAGATGGGGGCTTTACATACATGTACTATGGTAATCGAACATATTGGGCTATTTGATTGACAGTGATCGATTAATTATCGTGATCAGATAGCATCTACAAATTAATGAACACATTGGTATTCCATTATATTTCCAATATCATTTCTTTTAGTATCTGTTTATTGACCTTTTATTGGCCCAAGTGGTTTCTTCTGTGTTAATAGGACGTTATGAAGGTAATGGCAATAATAATTACACTTACTTTGACAAAAGAGAAATCAGACGTAGACACCCATCCATCGGAATCTGATACATCAGATGCTGATGTTTCTACTAGTTCACAAGTAAGGGATTCCATGTGATAATTGACAGCCGCACATCGTCCCTCAAGGGTACATAACATTCCACACTGGAGAGGACCATAAGGTATCGCCGTGAGGTACGCCATTCTCCTTAGGTTGTCGTGAAAATAATGGTTGTTTATGATTTTCGAACTTACGAAAGTCATCCAGAACACAATGAATGCAGCACTGCAACATCAAATTTAAAAACGTACACGAGATAAACAATCGGTATGTGATATTATTAGATTATACTGTTCTAATTATTGTACCATAGCTCTGGAAACAGTTGAAAATAAAAATATGCATTTGATAGAAAGACGAATATTTACAAAAAAAGTATTGGTTATACACGGATATAAACACTTTGTACGTTTTTTACGGCTATGTTCCTCGCAGCAGCAAAGTTTATGTTGTGCTTCAAAAGTATTAAGTTTTATTTTAGCGTGTTTTTTTTCCCGCAAAGCATTCGTATAGCATCAATTGCTTGCAACGCATTGCATCGTATATTAGGACCGTATAGTCACTCAGTTTTACGCAAGGAATAATAACAAAATACAATGGTAATCGTTTTCAACAGATTTGAATTTCAGTTATTCTATTATATATATTTGTTAAGACATAATTTTAAAATTACATATGTATGTAATGCTGTTTTCAGAGTCCCCCCCCCCCCCCCCCCCCCCCCCCCCCCCCCCCCCCAACACACACACACACACACACACAAACAGAACAGTTTCCGAATATTGTGCGTATGTTATTAATATACATTTCGAACAAAATTTAAAAGCCCCTGTCTGGTCAGAAAAAGTCTCACATTTCAAAATATGTAACATAAGCCTGTTAAATATTGGATGATGAGGTAAGGGAGATGAATTCAAACAGATTTATTCACAACATTGATTTGCATTGATTTTGTATTGTTCTATTTCACATCAATGATGCGAGTCATTTAAGACCAAATAACGCTGTTGAAATAGACATTCGCTAAATGAATGCATCGCACTTTACAGATCGGTCAAAACGTGTAAAAGATATCCAGAAACATCAACACCCAACGAAATGGTTGTAAAATATATCGTTTTTTATTGTTAAGATCAATTTAGGTAAAATAGTCATATATCAATTGCACAGACACTGTAAAAGGAAATTTTCTAATAGACGGTGCATTTAAGTATATGTCATATTTGTTTGTGTATTTATGTATGGTTTTTCTTCCTTGTGTAGGTATGGTTTATGCCAAGTTTCAAAAGGACAGCTTCATTTATGAAAGTATGTTGTCTTCTCTACATCTTGATTATGAACCCACATTAGGTTGAGTTTACAAATAACAAACAATCCATATTTTATCAGACAATCCCTGTAGTTTCCGGGAAAGAAAAGACGTGCCTTTATGTGTGCCGGAGGCAGGGTAAATTGGTCATATTGCCTCTTAACATACGCCGTCTCCGGCACATTTACGCACATGGAGGCACCTCCCTCAACCAACCAAACTTATGATAGCGCGGATCTGATGCCAACTTTATAGTGCTCTCTCAAAGAAATACAATGCCAAAGGCACCCAGCATAGTATTCCGCCGCGCCACATTATACTGACCAATCGCATGGGTGCTGTAGATTATGTTAAGTAAAAACATATGCAAGTTGAATATTTATTTACCTAGAATTCGTATTAATTCCATGTTCATCGTTTCTACCCCAAACATATATATGTAGCAATTTCTGTGCAGTGTTTCACATGCAGGTCAGGGATGGAGTAAACATGTATCTTAAGAGGTGACTAATTGGGGAAACTCCCTGCAGAATTGGGGGATTTTGCTTATGTGCCCGCTAATTGGGGACAACGAAACGATCAAAATAAATCTGCTGTACCAATTGCAATAGTTGGGATCCTGGTTTCTCTGGACTTCTAACTTCCTTTTATTTCCTAGCGCCATGCTTGGCAATACCTCACTTTACGCTTCAATGTGGAACGTTCGCCCAGGTAAGGAAGGCAATGGGTTCTGTACCTAGGACGGGACATACCAAAGTCCTTAAAAACGTTAGTCGTTATTCCCTGCTTAACATTCAGTATTTAGGGGAATGACAACTACTGGTTCACCCGTTGTCAGTATTATGTGTCCGGAATGAATGCTGTGCTGGGTGCCGTCGGCATTGTATTTCAGTAAGATAGCACTATATGGTCGGCGTCAGATCCACGCTATCACAAGGAGGCAAATACACCAATATACCCTGTCTCCTTCATTCACACACGAAAGCGCACATCCACTGCATACAATTTATCACATTTACAATAATATTTATCGTATTCCTAACAAGTATATGAAAAATATAGATCACTTAAGGAATCATCATTTATTACGTTACAGAATATTTCTTTCCTGTGAGAACAACGTACGACTGGTACAGTGCGTGTGGTTTGCCTTTCTAACGGACAATTAAGAGGGCCTAGATTTTCATTTTGTGTCGACAACCAGTCATTTAAAAGTTTTACTTTGCTGACTGTTTTCCTTTAGACTTGGTACTTTTTCTCCGTAAGCAGACTACATGTACATGCTTGTTTTCCTTTCAGGCGCAATATAAACCAGAAAACGAATCTAAATTGGGATATTGTAATGGGGCTGATACGGGTTAAGTTATTACACATCTGGCTGTTATGTTTGTTTTACAGCCCGTCGACAATGCGAGTCATTTAGGGCCAAACAACACTGTAAAGAGACATTCACACAAATAAAAAAAATGTAAAATGTATCAAGTCTCGTAAATATGGATCGAGTGCAATGAATCATTTATCAATAGCACAGAAACTGTATGAAAAAAAAGTTTCATAGACGGTACATTGTAGAATCTGTCAAGGATTTGTTTGAATTAAACACGTGGCTGATACGGATGGGGGGAGGGAAGAGTCTATCGCATGGGCAAAAATCAATGTTGTTATAATGTTAAGCAATGAACATCAATACAAATACATCATAAATATAAACAATATATATCATTCACATATTTCTTTCAGCTCGTGATCATTGCATTCAGAAATGTGTTCTCGGAGGCATAACAGATTTTCTTGAGAGAGAACCGAATGCATGAAGCGGAAATTGTTTAAGGGTTAAACGTCCTTGCCACAGCCAGGGCCATACGAGGACGGGTACCTTTTAGTAGAAGACTCTGAAGAATATCCCTAATACTGTAGGAGGTCGCACATAAGTCCACCCCTGCAGGTCGGGGATCGTGTAAAGAATCTACCTGCTGTTACCCACTGCATGTTTCGTAAGAGGAGACTATTGTGAGAACCCCCGCATAACTAGGGATTTGCTATTGTGCCCTCTTCTTAGGGACACGGAAGCGACCAAAGATAAATCTGCTGCACCCATGGTTATATTTGGGATATTTTTGTTTCATTCTTCTACTGACTACCTTTAACTTCCGACCCCTTTCTTAGTGACACCTCACTTTTTGCATTAATGTAAGGGCCGGGGCATACTAAGTCTTAAAAACAATTGCAGTTGTCATTCCCTGCTTAACGTTCAGCATTAAAGGGAATGACAACAACTAGTTTACCCGTTGTCAGTATAATGTGAATCCGGGTTCCCTTAAATTCACATAAAAAAGAAGACCAGGAAGAAACCAGGGGCCACATCAGTCACCTCTAATGATCATACACTGGGATACAGCTGGCCTATTCTTTCCCTGATCCTGCACTGGTATCGCAATTTATCCATGTGATCCTGGAATATTAAACCCCCATTCCCCAACAATCCCCGAAGTGGTAAAAATCCTACAACTTAGACCGCACGGGTTCATTTGTTACATTCGTTATAAATATCGAAGATACTAATGCTATACTGATATGGGTCACAGTACACTTATAACCACAGGTACCTTTCACAAATGCAAGGCATTCGTATTTTTTTTTCTTTCATTCGCGATTGGTACCTACTACCTAAATTGTAAACGAAACTCTGTACCCCTGACGTCAATTCCGATGAGCTCGTGTGAATGTCATGTGATGGAAGTAAGCATGTGAGTGCGATTCTAATAATTTTAGTCTAAATACGGTAAAACCTTTTCGAACAGGCATTGCTTGACAAATCGAAAGATTGCTTAGCATCTGAAAATACTGTGTCGAAAGGTTTGTCAGGCTTAATGTCACAATCGCCATTTTGTTTCATATCCGTACAGAACGAGAGAAAAAAAATGAAGGAAAAGGCAAATTTGACAACTGAAACACTGACACTTTTGTTACCTTCTCTGCAAATTGCTTGGAATCGAAATACAAATGGACGTTATTGCATGAACAAGTGAAGCACGATAGTGATGGATCTAGCCTATAAATAGTAGGGAAAATTTAGTCAAAACCTGACGTGTCCGACCTGATTGCATCTGCCGTTGTGGCCATGTTTTCGTGAGTTATACCATTACAGACCAAGTTATTGTGAATCATTCGCTTGCTTTCAGAACAATATTACTGGAGTTACTGTCGTACTATGATTAACAAATCTGACATTTCCCCTTTACTTCTGTTAACAACTCATCAACAAGTATAGTTCCTTAGAGCCAAACAATACACAAATAGACGTTCACGAAACGGAATAAATATAACAAACGAATAAAACAAACAAATGGAACATACTTGATGGAAAAACACGATATCGTATAGTTTTGTACAAATAAACTGAATCCAAGTTGTTATTTATCATCTGCACAGAAAGTATATAAAAACAATTTTCAAGATAGTTACTATGTTTTATTCTTCAGTGTATACTGTCAGAACAGTCACATCATGCAACGACAGTGTGCGTCTTAGAACAAAATAGGATTTTTTTGTTTAAGAGAACATTTTGATACTTTGCCATCGCAAGGTTTGCGATAACCGTCGTTTTTCACTATGCACAATGATTAAATTATATCTCGTAGTAGTATATATACATGTACAAGTGCAATCGACATATAATCCTCATTTCATTACGGGTGTTGAATAAATCCTCATGTGATCTCTAATTACGGTTGTTGAATTGCTTTTTTGTGTTTACCTGCCGTGAACACTAAAAAAGCAATTAGAATGATCTATGAACATGTTAGTGACCTGCTAGATTTTTTAAATAGTAGAGACGATTACCTGGTAATGGCGAGCCTTATTATCGGTCTAATTGGTAAATTTCCCATTTCAACTTCACAAATGCTCCAGTGTTGGTACGCTAATGCTTCTAGATACCACGCACATGACTACACAAATTACCTGCCAATCGGTTATGACATTTCATTGGTAGATCGATTCGATTGATTAGTTACAGTGTACAAAATGTATAGGTGGCATGCGCACATATATTTTCTGTCCATACGTTTATACCTGGTTAACAAACATCTATTTCAGCTCACCAGGTCTTCAGATCTTTTAATATGGTGAAGCGTTGGAAGAACGCCCCATGCGGGTCTGGGATTGAAATAATATTCCTCTATGTTATTAGAGATTCACGTTCGTGCCCTCTTCTTGAAGACCATAAAATGGTCAGAAAAAAATCTGCTACACATTTGGCAATCTCAATTAGGAATGATTTATATTTTCTCCCAACTTACTTCCATTCGCGCTGCCAAATAATCCAACACAGTTTTCATCCGGTCACAATATACCGAAGTTTAAGGACTTTCATATGTCAAAGCATGAGGACAAACCAATTGCCGATCCCATTTGGGCGAACGCTTGACACGAATACCAAAAGTGAGGTTGCCAAGCAAGGCACCAGTCCAGTAACAAGTGTTTTACTATAAATGGTTCCTGACATGCTATGCATTGGCAGGAGACAGCAATTGTACAGTAAGTTGCCTCGTACAACATGTAGTAGACAACAGCAAGTTTACTCTTTTAATATTCTCCGATCTGCAGGGGTATTTATTCGCTTTTCTTTTATCAATGTATTTCGTTACAACCCCCATCGACAATTCGAGTCATTTAGGGCCAAACAAAAATGTAAGAAATAGATTTCACAAAAAATTAATACATAAAAACCAAAAGCAAACGATTGTTAATAAAATATATCATATAGTATTAAAGAGATTTATCGAATGTCAATAATCACAGATTGATTGCACGGAAACTGTATAGAGGGTAATTATCAAATCTGTCACGTATTTGTTTGAAATCAGCGCATTCAATCATAAAGTGTTTGACTGTAAATGGTTGATCGCATGCATGACATTACGGTTGGTCTTCCTTATGTAAAATGTAACTATGTGTGACGTACAAAATGTAGGCATGGCCTTAGCGTAGTCGAGACAGGACAACTCCCGCGGTCTGCTCTACCTTTTGGACATTAACCTACATTAGGTTGAACTGAAAATAGTTTTAATAAAATTCGCACAAATCGATTGAATATAATAGTCATAGTTTAGTGGCACCGGAAACATTTTACGTAAGTAGTTTATTCCAACATATTGTATTGACATAAACAGTTGAACATCATTAGGTTTTGCATTACATAACTTGACCATTGATTTTGTCAATTAGTTTTAATAAAATTCGCACAAATCGATTGAATATAATAGTCATAGTTTAATGGCACCGGAAAATGTTTACGTAAGTAGTTCATTCAAACATATTGTATTGACATAAACAGTCGAACAACATTAGGTTTTGCTTTACATAACTTTTCAGGTGTTAGTGTCAAGTCGGCGCTTTCTATTATAAAAAGTTTGGCTATATTGATTGGTCACAACTATAAGGTTGATTCTAGTTTTGGGAAATGTAAGTATGTGTCATGTATGTATGATCCATGCATAGTCGGGAGGACAACTTCGTTTCAGAGGTCACGTCTTCTTATCACGTTTACATGTACATAAGGTTGAATTGAAAATAGCTTACTATCATTCATTGTTTTAGAAAATTAAGAAATTTTATTTAGAAGTTTGGTTTGGTTTTCTTTTGTTTAACGTCCTAACAACAGCTTAGGTCATTTAAGGACGGCCTCCCCTGTGTCCAAGATGCATGCGTGTAGTGTATATGTGTGTATTTTGGGAGGCTGCGATATGTTTGTGTTTGTCTCCTTGTGATAGCGCGGATTTGGAGGGACTCTCTACAGAACTAGAGACACTGAATAACCCAAAAGTACAGGGTGGTACTATTTGGTTAGAATCATGATTGGATAAGTGGTTTATCTTTGTTCCATTGATTCACCTTGACCCGCTTTGCATGTTGCTGGGGTCAAAATTGTTTTTCGTTATTACCCAAAAAAGCTAGGGCGAGGCAAGCATACTTTGATGAAGGACTACATAATCTTTTTTATTTGATTACCTTTATCCACTTTTAAGGTCACTGATGTCGGATATTTTTTTTATTCAAACGTCTTCTTCTGAATATTTAGCCAGCAGAACGCTCGGATAAAGGACTACCAAATTTGTTCATTTTAATGACATTGACACGCGTTTGAAGTCATAAGTGTCCAATTTTTAAAAAGATATAAACAACTCATCTCAGTAGCCATAGGTCCAGGAATAGTAAATATTGCAAATAGCGCGCTAGGATAAGGGACTACCAATTTTGTTCAAAATAATGAGTATTCGCCTTTCAATATTGGGGTCAAATATGTTAATCTGTTGACAACTTCGTTTCATTTAATAAAAGACTCGCGCCAGCAGGTCGAGGATCGAGTAGAGTATCGTATAGTATCGTAAGAGTCAACAATATGGAAACCCCCTGCAGAATTGGAGATTTGCTTTTGTGCCCTTTACTTTGGTGTAATTTGTTGCATCGAATCCAAATATTTTTCCACTTTGACTTTACCAAATTTGATATTAACGTTGAAATATCTGTAAAAAGAAAGTTTAAAATGAATAGAACAACTAAAGGGATTTTAAATGTGTAGAGCATATTGGGCAAAGCTAGGGAACTCAATTTTGTATAAATGCAGGGTTTTGCCCCTTAGGGTCAGAAGGTTTAGGCCCAATTGGGGAACTTGGAATTAATCATTTAAATACTTCCCTTTCTGTATGATTGGAATTATTTTTAACAACTTATGGTCCAGAATATTCTTTGGTAAACGGGACACATTTCGTATAAACTGAGGTTGTGACCCAATAGACCGGAGGGGCGTGGTAAAACAGAGGAAATCGAGGTAAATCTTTAAACCCCTTCACTTTCAGTAAAAAATTGAGTCATCTCCAATGCTAAAATTCCCATATGGTTGGCCCACGCAATGATTTTTCACCTATTTTGCAACAAACAGACTGCAGATAGTATTGAAGTTGATGGTATCGGCTCCTTAAGGTCTGCTTTGGCCAAAGTGGAAAATAAAGCAACCATGGAAAACTATTCTTGTAACATATAATGCTGCCAAATATTATTTCCATATATTGGCTCTGTCTCTCAGGAACATCCGTTCCTCATTAGGTCCGTTCTTTCTGCTCCCATGCATAGGGGTGGATTTTAAACATTGACCTCACTTTCCCCTATAGTGCCCTATCCCTTTGCCCCATAAAACAACCCACCATTTATAAAAATATTGAATCCCCTTTATAAAGTCGGCATCAGATCCGCGCTCTCACAAGGAGGCTAGTACACACAAAAACACATGAACACTTACACAATTCACATTTAGACACGTCCTTAAATGATCTTAGCTGTTCATAGGACGTTACACAAAATAAAAGCAAACTTTGCCCAATGATCTCTGCAACACCTGTCCCTCATTAGGTCCCTTCTTTCTGCTGCCATAAATAGGGGTGTATTTTAAACATTGACCTCAATTTTCCCGACTTGACCCCGTACCTCTGCCCCCTAAAAGCAACCCTCCATTTATACATAATTGAGTCCCGTTTACCCAAGGATGCTCTATACAAAATTTAGTTAAAAAACCGCCAAATAAATTGAAGGAGAATTATTTAAAATATTACCATGTTCCCCATACTGAACCCTTCCCCGTTAGGAGAAGAGTGTTAAAGCTTAAACAATTTACCCTAATGCCCCCCCCCCCCCCCCCCCCCCCCCC